TGGGCCGTAGTTTGAGGACGCCTGGGGTAAAATTTCCCAATGAAATTTTTATAGGATTCCCTGCATTACTCTGAAAGAATAAATAAGCACATTGTCTTAAGGGGAAAAAAATTCCTTGGTTCAGTTTTTCTGGCCTTTTTCTCATCAATACAATTTTCAGTTTTCTTGAAACTTCTTCCTAATAATCCCCTATGATCAACCTATGTTCAAGAAAGTCTATGAAGATTACCCCTTTGGCATACCAAAAAATAGTCTCTCTAAAATTCTGAGCTGAACCCTTGTTTTGAGTTTAGTCCAGCAGAACCCTTTGGAAGCCACGGTTGTAATTCAGTTATTTTTGAAGGCACCCTAAAGACTAAGATAAGTGTATTACTGAGAGAATTTGCATCCATCCATCAATCACAGAGATGTTGAAACATGTTTTGTTTAGAATAAACCTCATGTGAGCTGTAGTCAATTTATATGGCCCTTCTAGGCATTAACTGCTTATGTGCTTTAATATAAATCTGGATTCTGTGGTTCTACACCTGTGGTTCTACACCTGTGCCTCCAGAATCCCATTGTGGAGGGCCTTCTCTACTGTACCAACAGACAGGATTAAGACTTGATTTTAGTAGAGGTTGTGGACCAAGGTTATACCTTTATCCTTGGAGGTGTTATTAGACTGCCTTAGAATAGAAGGTGTGGCTTAAGATACCATCCTTAATTTTCCTTGGGGGTTAATGTCAGATAAAAGAGAAGCCACCTCCATCAAAGCCATTCCTCAGTATATAAATCATATTAAATTCACAGCACTATTTGGAACAGCACGTCTCAAATCTCTGAAGTGGTGGAGACTACTAAGCCCAGATGCACAAGAAGCTGTGGCATGGAGACTCAGAGAAGCAGTGGCAAGACTGTGAGGTACATTGTCATCTGACCCAAGACTATGTACATGTGGGACATGGGCAGGCTGGCTTTCTGGTCCATGGAGGCAAAGACCAAAGCACCCTGTGACTGAGAGACTGAAAATCAGAGAGACTTGGCTGCTTGCTGAGGAGAGAGGTATTGCTGTGGATTAATGATAGTATCCTTTCTTTTGCTGATTCTGACTTATGACAACTTATTAACTTCCCTAATAAACCCCCTTAATTGTGAATGTTATCTGTGAGTTCTGTGTGTCCATTGCAACGAACTATCAAACCTAACATAGAAGAAGAGCGTCATGGGAGGAATGGTTGGTACCAGAATAAGTTAAGAAGGGTAGATTGTGGAGGCATGTCTGATCCCTATTTTGGAGCAGTAGGAGTCCAGAGGTCAGCTTTGGCCCTCATCTTGCTTATTGTGCATGTATGAATTGAAACTCTAATAGCAATACTTTATGATTTTCTCTTGTACATTCTTAAGAAACTTAGCTCTCAAGAACCTTAACTTGGTGTTGAAAATCTCTTAGTTATCTGGTGCTGCTATATAACAGAATGAATGGCCTTAAGCAAAATTATTTCCTCACACTTTAGGAGGCTAGAAGTCTGAAGTTAGAGCACTGGCTCAAGGTGAAAATTTTCTGTGTTGGATTCTGCTTCCTGCTTTTTCAGAGATCTCCAGGTGTCTTGACATTAATCTTCCGCTGGATCTAGGCGATTGTCAGTGCACTCCATTCCTGGCTCTTAATTTTGGTTGTAGTGAGATTCCTTCCTGATGTATTTACTTCTTGTGAGATACATGGTTTGACTGAAGCAAAGGTGCAATTTGAATGTGGAAGTAATGTGAATCAAGGCTGTGATTTTAAGATACATCCAACACGAATCCTGCCTCATTAACATAGAAATTAGGATTTATAACATATCACAATATGGAAGACAACCACATAATACCGAGAATCATGCCTTGGCCAAGTTGACATATACGTTTTTGGAGAACTCAATTTAATCCATGATAACATAAGATACAGGAAGAAATAGTGAGAAATTTGAGATTATTTATATTAAGTTTCTAATTGCATAGCATAGACTATTAATGCAATTTGGAGTTATAGGAAAAGTAAGTCTTTATGGTTTGTTGAGGAAATTATTATGGGACCAAGAGTTCCTAGGGAAAGGAATATGTTTCTTTGGATATCTGCTTGAAGTCATATACTTGATGTAGCATTTTTCTAGAATTTGTGTAACAGGTGGATAGGATATCCAAATGCTAATGAAAATAGGTTATATTTTCCACTTGATGTCTTTTATTCTGTGGAGAAACATGCACCTTTTTGCTCCTGTGCATATTTACAATCCCAAAACTCATAGGGGCAGTTCTATCCTGCCCTATAAGGCTGCTCTGTATCTGAATCGGCTTGATAGCAGTGAGTTTTGAGGTTTTTGAGCCTTCTATTTGAAATGCTGATGTATTTTTCCTTCACAGATAATGACCAGTTTTAATCATTTTTATAAACATAAAGATTAAAACTCACTTTCACTGATTTGGCTGTACCTAATTTTCTGTCCACTATAAATAATTGCGTGAAGAAAGTAACTCAGCATCAGGATTGGAGGAAAGTTTATTAACAACCTGGGAGGAGTTATTCAACCATTTGATAATGAGGATCAAGGACTGCCGCTTTCATTATGGATTGCAACTCATTATAAAAAATACTGAAATCCTGACAGCTGGACCAATGGATAACATCATGGTAAACCGAAAAGATTAAAGTTGTCAAGGATTTCATTTTACATGGATCCACATTCAATGCTGATGGAAGCAACAGTCAAGAAATCAAAGGACATATTGCACCGGGCAAATCTGCTGCATATGACCTCTTTAAATTGTTGAAGAGCAGTGATGTCACTTTGAGGACTAAGGTGCTCCTGACCCAAGCCATGGTATTTTTAACTGCTTCATATACATGTGAAAGTTGAACATTGACTAAGGAAGACTAAAGATGAATCGATGCATATGAATTATGGTGCTGGTGAAGAATACTGAAACTACTATGAACTGTCAGAAAACAAAGTTTGTCTTGGAAGAAGTGTAGCCAGAATGCTCGTTAGAAATGAGGAAGTCAAGTTTTCCCCCCACATACTTTGGACATATTATCAGGAGAAACTAGTCCCTGGAAAAGGATACCGTGTAGAGTCAGTGAAAAAGAAGACCCTTGATGAGATGAATTGACAATCGTGTTCTGCAACCGTGGAGTCAAACATCATAGGAAATGTCAAGCTAAGATTGTGAGGATGGCACAAGATGGCAGTGTTTTGTTGTGTTGTCCCTAGGCTCTCTATGAGTCAGAACCGACATTACAGAGCTTTACAGCAACAACTACTATATAAATAGTTACTGTCATCATTATTCATCTGTTAGTCTAAAACTTTTTAAGTATAGATCTTTAAAAGAGTGACTCTGATTTTAACTGTTACTACCATGTACTGACTACAAATACCAATTTAGAAATTGCTGTAAAATTGTTAAAGTACATCTTAAATTTCATACTACGTATTGCAAAATTACATTTTTTTGTTTTTGAAAATAAGGTTTGGTTCTTTTCTTTCAAAAATTAGATAATTCAAAAATGGCGGAACTATTTATGGAATGTGAAGAAGAAGAGCTGGAACCCTGGCAGAAGAAAGTAAAAGAAGTTGAAGATGATGACGACGATGAACCAATCTTCGTTGGGGAGATAACCAGTTCAAAACCAGCAATTTCAAGTAAGTCTTTTCTTTCAGTGAGGGAAAATTTTGAAAGACTGTTTCTGATGGAAAAACTTGTGGTTTGGCTTGTATGTCCTTGATGTTTTTGTACCTTTGTAATGTTGAGATGGGAAATTGGGTAGGAGATCAGAAGGTTAGGAATGGGGCTGCTGACTTGAAGGAAGTGAGAGGTTTAAATATTATATGAGAGAAAAGAAATGGGTTAAGAGTAGCTGGTAACGTTGGAAACCTTCCAAGACCAGAAATTATATTTTTGTGTGTGTGGAGTAATCTTGTTTATTTGCTCATTTTTCTTTCTTTCCCCCTAACATACAGACATGGAGAAAAGGTCAGGTATGAAATGTTTTGCTTAAAATGTCAGAATATGTGTTGGCTTTCAAAAAGTTTGTGGAAAAGTTGCATTATCTTTTAGTTGCATTTTCCATGAACTTTAAAAGACGTTTTCTATTAAATAAAGGAACCCTAGTGATGTAATGTGCTACTTGGTGGGGAACTGACTGCAAGATTTGCAGCTGGAAACCACCAGCCACATCTGTGGGAGAAAGTTGAGACTTTCTACTCTGGTAAAGTGACCTTCTCAGAAAACCCACAGGGGCTGTTCTACCTTGACCTGGGGTGTCGGCATGAGTCAGAATTGGCTCGATAGCAGTGAGTTTGACCTCTTTTTCCTTTTCTTTTTTGTATGTTAAATAGGTTTTTGGTAGTCTTTTCATCTGAGTTCTCACAACTATCTCATCATAGTGTCTTCGTGAGCATTACTACTGAATGTACAGACTATGAACCATTACAGTCTTTGACCCACATGCCAAAGGACTGTACTTTCTGGCCACATCGTCTTCTAAAAACGCCAGTTTATATTCCTGAAAGGATGGCATGGTAGGCAGTTTTTTTCCTGAAAGGCTGATATGGTATACAGCTATTGTGCATGGATGATATACTGGTCAGTATATTTTTTAAATGTCTGCCCAAATTGTGTAAGTTTACAGAGAAATAATTTATGAAAGCTCAGGGGACAGTGAGAAAACATCCTTTTCTATTTCTTTTACATGGCTTGTTTGTTATCAAAGAATGTAACTCTTTTTTTTCTTTTCTTATGGTAGTGCAGTGACTATGGCTCTCCTAGAAATAGTCTTTACTCTGATGTGGTAATGGACTTATGATTTAGACTGCTAAAACAGCAGTTTGAGCTTCCCAGCTGCTCCATGTGAGAAAGATGAAATTTGACGGCCTTGGTAACTCAGAGCAACAGTTCTGCTTAGTCTTGATGGCAATGATTTTTTTTAAAGATAATCTGTGGGATTCCCATACAGTGATTGGATGAGACTATGCACATAGGATGCTTGTGGCCCACTATGGGGATTGGATAGTTTAATGCAAATTAGGTGTTTGGAACCTGTGATGGTTAAGATTAATTGTCAATGAAATAACAATAATAATATATAATTGATTAAGGATTCACAAGGGTAGGAAGGTGGGGGAGGGAGGGGAAAAAAGAGCTGATACCAAGGGTCAAGTAGAAAGAAAATGTTTTGGAAATATTGATGGCAACATATGTACAAGAGTGTTTAATATAATTGAATTGTTATACAATTTGTAAGAGCCCCCAATAAATTGTTTAAAAAACAAAGCAAAAACAGTATCTATCAATATAATTAAGTCATGACTTTCAATGGGTTGTCATTTACCCCATTTTGTGATCTGATGTAAGTGTACCCCATTTTGTGATGTATTGTGAATCCTAATCTGATGCCGTAGTAGCTACAGCACTCAACTGCTAACCAGTAGTTTGGCTGTTTGAACTCATCATCCCCTATGAGAGCCATGGCAGTCTACTTCTATAAAGATCTACACTTTGGAAATACTGTGCAGTAGTTCTACTGTATCCTATACACCCACCACATATTGGTCTGGTCACTTTGGATAGAGTTGTCATGTTACTGATCAGGACTAAAGTTGAATGTATTTTGAATTCATCACCTTTCTGAAGAGCGTGATTCATGTCACTATCCTTAGTCCAATCACTACTCTTACAGTCAAACTGGTGTACACTGTGCTCAAGTAAGGGAGGGGAAATTCCCTTGAAGGTATGGTCTGCATCCAAATTGAGGGTGCTTCAGAAAGTTTTAGGGACATTTCATTATCTTTTAATTCTAAAATTTACAAGCTTTTTGAAGCCCCTTTGCATGAATGCTGTGGCAAAGTTGTGGATTCTGCTTCCAGTTCTTCATTCTCTGACCTCTAGTTCTAGAGCCAGTTAGCCTGTTGTCTGACTTGATTTGCCAGTTTCCATGCCTTTGTGAGCCAGCAGCCTATTAGCTGACCTGCCAATTTTGATTCATAAAACCACACAACCATATGAGTTTGAAGAAATATACAGCCTAATGTCTGATGTACAGATTGAAGATTTGCCAGCTTCCACCACTGTGTGAGCCGGATGGTGTGTGAGGTCTGTGAGACACTACCATATCACAGATGGGAGTGAGAGTACAGAGGGGAGGCACAGTAGTTGATATAAGAAATGATGAAGTGGTACAACATTTTGGAAAAGCTGGATATTTGAGACATCTTTAACCTCCTTCTCCTAGGACCCAGCTTTGTGTTGATCCTTATAAAAGAAAGTATTCATTATGAGTATTTTCCATATCAATGCTTAAAAGTATTAAACTAGTTTTGAAGTTTTCTGAAAACCTAATTCTTGTCTCTCTTCTCTCTAAACTTGTAATGATACTTTAGTCTTATCAGAAGGAGAGTGATTTAACCAGTTGAGTTCTCAGTACTGTTTCCATTGGTAGATTGATAATCTCTCATTGAGGTGCAAAGTGGAGTACTACTTCTATTATAAAAATAACTAGGCATGTTAGGGGGAGCCTTGGTGGCACCGTGCTTTGAATCTACTAGCTGCTCGTTATAACCTGTGGTACGTGTATCACTTACATTCTCCCCCTCTGGCATTTCTTGAAACATTTTTCTGTGTGTTGTATATGCTAGCGTTAGGGTGGAGGACTTGCGTAACTATATAAAGCCAGAAGGAAGTTTCTCTGAAACATTTAGCCAGGTTTATAGATTATTGTATGAGGTAGTACATCCTAAAGGAGTGATTGTGAAAAACCTTTGTCTCTTTGAAATGAGGATTTTAAGTATATTTAAAATGTCCTTTGTGTTACTGGGAAGATATGGTGGTTGAGAGTAGGGAATATTGACGTCAGTGACTTATAATCAATCATCATAATTATATTACCCTTGATGTGCTGCGTGTACATTTCATACAGTTTGTTTAGAACGTATGATCTGGTTTATAAGCTCTAAATAGTTCTTTTTCAGTAAGAAGTAATTCATGGTGGTAGAAATCCCATGACTATATTTCCTTTTGGGACTTTTATATTTATAAACAGTTGGACTGTGTAGTATCTTCCTGTATGTAGTCTCATACTACAGGTATGGTAGTGGTATTCTCCTGGTCCACTGATCCTGGAATTACTTTTTCCTGAAAAGCTCCTCTGGTTTCATAAATGGCCATTTATAAAACTGAAGAAGCTTTTCAAACCAAAAGTAAACCAAACCAATCTCCCCACCACTGAGTTAATGCCCACTCATAGTGACCCTATAGCAAAGGATAGAATTTCCAAGTTTCCAAACTCACCCGTATGAGTTTCCAAGACTAATCTTTACAGGAGTAGAAAGCCCCATCTTACTTCTATGCAGTGGCTGGTGGTTTCAAACTGCTGACCTTGCAGTTAGCAACCTAACATGTAACTACTATGCCTTCAAGGCTCCTCAAAGAAGCTGTAGAACTCTTACTTTCTCTCCCTGAGAACGAGAGTGAATCTGAGGAGTTGTGTGACAAAGATGCCTTACTGGAGCTTGCTACTTGTCTTGGGAAATCTGAAGCTTATTGCACTGATAGCATGACAGAGACGTAGTACCAAAAGATGATGAAGCAGTCCTTGTTATACTAGAAAGGGACCAACTGATGGCCTTGTTGACATCAAAGAAAGCAAAAGAGATTGTACAAAGAAGTCTCCTCCTTTGATAATGAGCTAACTTTAGCGGGATGCCAAAGTTTATTCACATTTGACCCATGAAGATCCTGAAGGTAGATTATATTTTTGATCTGCATTTATGGAAGAAATGTTGGAAATCATAAAGGACCAAATCTATATGTGACCCAGGAGTGCATAAGATGACAGCGTGGCCAGGAGATTCGAATGCAAAGTAAAAACTGGCAGCCTGCAACTGTAGAGGAGATAAAGACATTTGTTGCTGTGTATATACTGATAGGTAAATGCAGCTCTCGGAGAATGGGATATTACTGTCCAAAGGTCCCATATTTCACATTAGTTCCACACGAGAACTTAACGCTAAAACAAGATTCAGGAAACAGAACTTAACGCTGCAGTGACAATTCAAAAGCAGAACAACCTTGGTATTACTGAGTACCAGTATTCTTAATGGCTACCTAAAGCAATTTATTATATGTGCCTTCAAATGTCATGGCAGTTGACAAAAACATGGTGCCATCGTTCATCAATAAGCAGTACATGCATATGAAGCCTGCCAGGCACATGTACAAAGTTTGGCGCTTGACTGACTCACAACTGCCCTTTTAAGTCACATTGAAATCTATTCTGGGGAAAAAAGCATGAACAATGACTCATCTCTTTCCCTTGGTGAGAATGTTGTATTTGCACTGTATCGCTGATACAACCATTCTCATAGGACCATATTCTTCAACAGTTTCTTTTAGTGAAAACCATGAACAGCAAATTGTATGCACAGCACAAATAACTTGAAAGAGCCTACCAAGAATGCTGAGGAGGAAAGAAATTTCAGAGGGAAGAATCTGTTTTGTACAAAAGGTGTATGTCTACAGTAAAGTGGCAGGAGAATAAACCTGTGACAGTTTTGTTAATATTCCACAGTTCAAAGGACATCACTATTGTCAGAAGAAAGAACAAAGATAGTTCCTCAGGAATCCTTTGCCCAAGAGTTGTTCTAGAATACATCGCAATTAATGTGAGGAGTGGACTGCATTGACCAGAGGCAGGGAAGGTATGCAATAGGAGGATGGTGTCACCTGGTGGCATCAAGTACTGTATTTCCTTATTGACTTTGGAATTGTAAATAGTTTTGCAATGTGGAACTGTAACAAGGCAGATGTGACCTACTGTCCTTAAGGATCACTGTCTCTAGGCAGCTTTCTGTGGGCTGAGAAATCAAAAGAAATAGAAGACTTTCCTTTCTTGTCAAGAACAAGCCAGGAGTTTAGCAGGTGCTCTGACAGGTTGGAAATTACTTGTCAAGGGAACCAGAAGTCAATTCACTAAGAAGATGTAGGCTGGAAAAATTGTGTGTAGTCAGCGCAGGCCACCTTTACTCTGATTTATTCAAAAGGTTTCACTCCAAATTGTTAAGATATATTTTTCTTTCTTTCTCTTTTTTTAACCAAAAAATGTCTTTTGTTAAGATATATTTTTCTGTGCCTCATCCCACCCTTTCTACCACCAGAGTTCACGTGACATCAGTGTCCCACATCAGATTTATAAAAACCCATCATACTTCACCAAAGTTAAAAAAAGTAAAAAACAATGGTTCAGCATGCATTCTATAAGCAGAAACACATATCTACAAAATCTAAACAAAAAATAATTGGTGATAAAAGGATAAAATGATTTCATTGCTTTTCTATATGTAATCCCAAAATATTTTAGCATATGGAATATGAATTAATTGTTTATATAGAACTGTCATGGGGGGCAGGGCAAATTTGTGTTTCGTAGATCATCTCTACCAAAATACACTGTGGAGATAGTTCTTTGGTTTTAATAATTAATCTTTCTAGGAGAAAGCACTGTCTAGTGTTTGAGCAGCTATTTCTTTTGGAAATTTTCTGTAGTGCTTATTTATAGGACATTGGATTGCCATTATTCAAAAACAACCCTATCTTTTTTTCTGACTCTTTGTTGTCCCTTATTTAATAGGTGTTATACATTGAGCTGTGATATCCCTCACTGCCCCAGTAATGCTGTAAATCCAAATCCATGTCTGGGATAATAATTTCATTTGGAAATGGGTTTTTTTGTTGTTACGAGGTAAGATTAGTGTAGTCTGTGTTTTGGGTCTCTCATTTGAGACGTGAAAGAGATCAAGCGAGCAAGCCAGAAAAGCTACGTGGACATCTCTGAGGACCAGAAAAATGTTGAAGAGGAGCTCACACACCCAGAAAGCATTTCTCTAGAGCTGCTGACACCCTAGTTTTGGAATTACAGCCTTTTAAGTAATGAGAAAATGAATTTGTTTGTTTAATGCCAACTGTTTGTGGTATTTCTGTTAACAACAGCACTGGACAACTAGTGAGATCTGGTTCTTTCTTAGGAGACCCTGGGTGGTGCAGATAATTCTGTACTTGTCTGCCAATGGAAAGGGGGGCAGTTTGAACCCACCCAACAGTACAGCAGAAGAAAGACCTCCAATTTACCCCTGAAAGATCACAGCCATTGAAAACGCAATTGATCACAGTTCTACTCTGGTACATATAGCATTGCCATGACTCAAAATTGACTCAGTGGTGACAATTGTTTGGTTCTTCTTCTTTTTTTTTAATTTGATTTTTTTGTATGAAGTAGGAAAAAAAGTTTGTTTCATGAAATGTTTTCTTTGTTGTTTGTACTGTTTCCTGAGTAGCAATGGTTGGCAAATTCCTACTCTTCCAAATTTTAGTTCAGTTCCTAAATAAATCAGAAATTAGAGTTTACATGATACAAGAGTAAGGAATGGTAAATGGATTCAGGACATCATGCCATTCTCAGATTGACTTGTGATATAGTTGTCGATTTGTAATCCCCTAAATTATAAGGCATTTTGATAAATTCTTGGTTCAATTTAGTATGCATTCTCTGGTTATTTCCCTTTTGGAACTGGAGTAATTGTACAGACATCCAATTAGTTCCTTCACAATGAAACGTTCAGGCTTTTATGGATGTGAATGGAATATGGAGGCTGGAAAAAGTTGGGATTTCGTCTTAGAAAATCAAGTATATGTACAACCTTCTTTATTCAAGAAAGTAACTATTCTTTAATTACTGGGTATATGTAAATGCTTTCTTTTTTATATGTGAATGATTTTAGAAGAAATTTAGTTTGTATATTTCTTTGCCATTTAGAAGGTTTTGAATTTTATATTGAGTTTAGTATATCTTTAGAATTAGCTGTATTAGTTTATAATTAGCTTAAGTCAATGGTAATGTGCATATACTCCTTGAGAAACAAGTAATTATTTTCAATTCAATTATGTTAATAGGTATTTCACTCAAACAGTGGATATTAAAATAAATTTTATTTTTTATAGATATTTTGAACAGAGTTAACCCCAGCTCATACTCAAGGGGAATAAAGAATGGCGCACTTGGTCGAGGTATCTTTATACTATTTTAATTTTTAAATGAAGTATTTTATATAGTTGATTCTGTAGAAATTTACTCAACATGTTGTATAATTTTAAAATACAGGTGTTACTCCTGCATTCAAGCCTACAAATCAACACTTCACCAACCAAACATCAAATCCAGTGACTGCCTCACCAGTAAATTTTCAAATGGAGTCTCGATCTTCAGCTAGTTCTGTTATTGTTCAGCCTTTGTCTAAGCCTGTAAGTGTTTTAAAAATTTCAGTTATCCCAAGGATACATTTAATGTTACTTATCAATGGCAATCAATATTAGTTAAAACTTGCCCTATTATAGCTAGTTATTATTCCAGTAGAAGTATAATCCAGCCAATTGCCATCAAGTTGATTCCAACTCAAAGTGACTAAGTTATACTTTCTAGAGTTGGTTAGTTTTGTGCCAGCCACCACGGTCTTATGATTAACTCAAATTAATAAACACCAGCTTAAAGCGTGTTTAGGAACATTATATAAATAAAGTTAAAATTCTTCTATGATGTAAAAAGCTTCAGAAAAAGCTTAAATACATTACAAAGTGAAGTTATTATCTCTGAATACGTGATAGCTAAGAAACAAATTGGGATTAGATACCCCACTATGCTTAGCCCTAAGCTTAGACATTTAAAATCAGTACAGTCCTCTAGAGAACCACTAGCAAAAGCTTAAAACTTGACTTGGTGCTTCACATCCACCGAGAGGAGCTACTGTGTAATCAGTAAACCCCAGCATACCGTACCACCACGTGCTAATACAGTCTATATACACCCATCTTCAACAGACACTTAAAAGGAATAATAGTAAGCTAAATAATTAAAAACATAAAAACTTTAGGTCAAGGTGTTACCTATGTGATGGAGACTAATGGGCTACATTTTCTATACCCAGGACATTTAATGAAAGCCTTTATGAAATTAAAGACCAAAGGAGGCATTACTAGTAAGCCAAGAATAGCGTGCTTGGTTGAAATTGGCTGTGAAGCATGCACACACTGCCCATCACCCTCCTGAAGTATTTAAATATGTAAAACGTTATTAACTATTTTGTACATAATATGTATATGAGAGGACTTAAGTTGTAACTAGTAAGCATACTGGAAAGTGTGCTTGGACAACTCAGAATGTAGCTTATTTAAAGCATCTGGCTTAACTCTAGAAGATTTCAGCTATACTGACCATTTTGAACCATATCTTAGCCCAACAATATATAAACAAATACATTTCATTTCTAAACTAAAACACTTACCCCTTTAAACATATAGGTGATAGAAATTCTACTAGTTGAGCAATAGAGACAGTACTGCAAGGGAAAGATGAAAGATTTCACTCAAAGTAAAATACAGCAAAGATTAAAACTTCTACCTTTTGCATAATAAACTAACTACAATAAATTTGACAAAGAACTGCGGCCAAATACCCCCAAAACAGATGAGCTACCTATAAGCAATTTTAAAGAATCAATTAATCTTTGTTGCAAAATATTGAGTAGACTTATCGATAAGAGGTGAAAAGCCAACCGAGCCTGGTGCTAGCTGGTTGTCCAGCTAAGAATAATAGTTGAACCTAAAATTTACCAAAAGCTTAACAAATAATCCTTATGTAAATTTCAGATATAATTGAAAGAGGTACAGCTCTTTCAATTTTGGGTTCAACCTTTTTTTAGACAGTAAGCTTTATTGTATTCATAGTTGGCTTAAAAGCAACCATCAAGTAAGAAAGCATTTAAGCTTAACAAAAAAATCTTTAATTTACATAATATAAGCTAACTTCTAATTTTAAACTGGACTAATCTATTATCCTATAGAAACAGTACTGTTAATATAACTAACAAGGATTTTTTTCTCCTTGCACCAGCTTATATCTGAACCAATACTCAATGGTAGTTAAAAACTGAGTAATTTCACCTTAATAATATATTATTATTTTACTTGTAAATCTAACACAGGTGTGCATTTCTAAAGTAAAGATTAAAAAAAGGAAAAGGAACTCGGCAAACAAACTCTAATCCCTCTTGTTTACCAAAAATATCACCTCTACCTTTACTAGTATTAGTGGCACTGTCTGCCCAGTGACCCATGTTCAACGGCCGCAGTACTCTGACTGTGCAAAGGTGGCATAATCATTTGTTCTCTGAACATGGACTTGTATGAATGGCCACACGAGGATTTAACTGTCTTTTTATCAGTGAAATTGACCTCCCTGTGAAGAGGCGGGAATAAACCTGTAAGATGAGAAGGCCCAATGGAGCTTTGATGAACAGTTCACTAATAAAGGAACAATTCAAATGGTAAAAAATAATAGTTTCATGAATTGTTCATTTTGGTTGGGGTGACCACGGATCATAAATTAACCTCCAAATGATAATTTACGTAGACTAACCAGTCCAAGCTTCTAATCATTTATTGATCCAATTAATCGATCAACGGACCAAGATACACATAGGGTAACTTAGTGAATTTTTATGAGGTTGTAAATCTTTATGTGAGCAGATAGCCTCATTTTGCTTCCTTAGAGCAATTGGTGGGTTTTGAATCCTAGACTTTGTCAATAGCAGTCTAGCACTTAACCTGACAGCACCACCAGGGCTCCTTAGACATCTAAGCAAATGACAGAAAATTTTTATGAATAACTAGTACTCAGAATAATAACTGTAGGAACTAATTATATTCTCTGTTTGAAATATTTTAACAGGGATTTATTATGAACTCATCACGAGTTGTATCTAAAAATTCTTCTGAGTTACTGTTTGACTTGACCCAGGATACAGCAGTAGCACATTATCAAGGGGGACCAGCACTTTCTATAGCAGGTTGGTTCTAGCACTTTTTGTGAAAAATTAAAAGTAAAAAATTTTTAGGTAACAGTTGTACAATACTGCTTGATGTGATTGAACTTCAGAATGATGTGATATCAGTATCAACTCCCAACAAAATGGTTTTGAAAAAGAAAAAGAAACACCAGGTTGTATGAATGTGCCAGAATCCATTCCTGAGCTCTTCATTAATATTATAGACCACTTATTTAACTTAGCCTCATGAAAATTAATAAGTCATAAATACCCCCCCCCCAAAAAAAACTTTAATGAATATGTGAATTTGCAGGTAGAATTAACTTTCTGTTTTGAATCTCATGTCCTCACTTTAAGGTGTTCATGTATTATAAGGTGGAGTAGTGCTAATAGTCTAGGATGCCTTTCTTGTGTGATTTTATCCATTGCTTAAATAATAGTTTATTTCTAGTAAGTAATTGATCAGGCTCTGATTTGTTCTCAGTTGGAGCCACCCATGGGCTAAAAATTCTACTATTATTTCTGTGCTTCCATAAATACTGTTTTCTTTTTAAAAAGCATTAGTTTCTGTGCCCACTGATGTGAAAAATGTATGGTTATAGTCGATTTCTTAGTCTAGTATCTTTCTATTTCAATTAATGATTTAGAAGTGATAATTGAGTGGTGTTATAAAATGGCAGTACTACAGAAACAATGATTTATTCATAGTAAATACCCAATAAAGGAATAATGAAAGTAACTTGTAGAAGAAGAGGTAAGGTTCTTTGATTCTATACTATAACAGATAAATTGATGTGATAAGAAAAATTTTACTAAATTCCTTCTGATCAAGGTAATTATTCATCATAGGTGTGATAGAATTAAGTATTTAACTAAATAGAGGTACACATGAATTTTGTCAGTTTTTGGTTGTTCACTACAAATATGGCAAATCTACCAACTATTCCCAAATTTTATATAGTAACATTAATAACTGAAATATTTTTCCATTTTGATAATATTTGATTGTTATTCTCTTGGTATTGCCTACATGGTATAGGCAGTAACCAGTAGAAATGGAGAGAGTAGGTACTTGCTATAAATTGGATTTTGCAAAGCATGAGTTTTATTCAAAAAAAAAAAAGGGGAATTTTTGAAATTTATTTAGGGCAAAGGACAATGACTCCTAGTAATTTTCTACATGGTACTTCAGAGTGGGATTAGCTTGCACAGTAAATAAGATTAAACAGATTTAGATGATGTAGGTTTGTGTTCCGAAGAGTTTTGTAGCCTTTATCAAATCACCTTACCTCTGGTACAATTCAATTTTCCCCTGGTATGAAAATGAAAATTTAAAGTTTTTCTTATATAATATAATCATTCTTGCTCTACAGGTATTTTAGGGTATATTCCAGTTACTGTGGCCATACTTTGTACTGTCTGTAAGTTTATATATAAAGTTTTTGTGGAAATAGCTTGGAATGGGGCTGTATCTGACTGCCTCGGGCTTCCCTGTTGCCACAAGGCAGAGGTCAGGCATGCCTTTATCATCCATCTCTCTTTACCAATTCTGACCAATCCTACTTTTCTGCTGGGTTTGATAGTTTGTTGCAATGGCCACATAGAACTCACAGACAAAACTCAAAATTATGGGGGTTTATTTGGGAAGTTAGCAAGTTACCACAAGTCATGGTCAGTAAACAGTGAGGATACAGTCCTTAGTCTGCATTAGCTCCTCTCCTCAGCCAGCAGCCAAGTCTCTCTTTGGTCTTCAGCTTCTGAGCCAAGGGGTCTTTTTATGAATGACTGTGGCATTATCATTCAAGATTACTTATTTCTAATACATAGGTAATTTAATTTGAAGACACACATATTCACTGCCATGAATCAGTGCTGACTCATAGTGACCCCCTGTGGGTTTCTGAGTCTAACTGTTCAAGGGAATAGAAAGCTCGTTTTATCTCAAGGAGCTGCTGGTGGTTTCATACTCCCGACCATGTGGTTCGCAGCTCAACACTTAACAATTACACCACCAGGCCTCCATGAAGACATGAATTTTCCAGTAGATATTTTAACTTAATAGGAAGCTTCCTACGGGTCTAAGAACAAATAATGTAAGGTGGTTTGGGTTTTTTTTTGCCAACTTAAATGCACTGAAGTATCTAAAATTATTGAGGGTTCACTAAGTTCATGGGAAAAATATCAGTTATATTCTAATTCAGGTTTTTCAAAACCTTTTTCAAGCCTCTTGGTGTGTGCACATAATGAAGTTTGTGCAGTTTCTTTATATATCCCCTGAGGGACCTCATACTGTTGTCTTTGAGTTTATTGTGATCCATGATAATTTCATGTATGTCAGAATGGAACTGTGCTCCTTGGTGTTTTCAGTGGCTGGCTTTTCAGAAGTAGGCTACTAGGCCTATCTTTGGAGTCGCCTTTGGGTGACCCTGATACCTCCAGCCTTTCAGTTGGTAGCCAAATGTATTGCCCTTTTGCATCTGAATAGATACTTTTCATTCCTTTTTTCTTAAAGTTTTTCTTAAAGTTCGGGTGAAGGTTTACAAAGCAGACCAGTTTTCCATTTGTTTTTATTTGATATCACTGATTGCAATCTCCATAACGTAACATCAACCATCCTAGTTCTTTCTTGTATTTGTTTCATTCTTTATTCTCTGAATGCTTTCCTTTTGTAAATGCTACCCCTTTGATCTCAAGTGGTTGATTATTATAAGGTATGTGTACTTCTTGGGGTTACTGTTACTTCTATAAACCTGTGATTTGGCTGAAAATTATTCCATGGGAGTGAGTTCATGTCCAGATCTGAAGGATGACAAAGGGACATAGTCTCAGAAATTGTATCAGCCTCTATCAGACCAATATACCTGACTTCTTTAGTGATTTTGAATTTTGTTCCACATTTCTCTCCCATTCTATTTCTAATGTGATCCCTCTGAAAGCAGTTGGTAGTGCTACCCAGGGATCATCTAGTTCTTCTGATCTTGAAGTTGTGGAGACTGATACTTGTGTGGACTATTAGTCCATTGGACTAACCGTTATCATGTGTCTTTGATGCATTTTCCTCTTATTTCCTCCAGACAAGAAGATAGCAATACGTGCATCTTAAGTAGCTGCACACAAGTTTTTGTCATCCTAGTTGCTGTTTAGCCAAATAGGGTATGGAACCTTGTGTGGTCTGTTAGGCCAATTGAATTTAATATCTTCTGAAATTATGGTCTCAAGCTCCCAGGCCCATGGACTTGTTCCCTCAAAGCGTTTGGTTGTTTTAAAGAATTATTTCTTCATGGAAGAAGCATGTAAGCTTGTGTGATGCAAAAATGACAATAACAAAATCCAAATATGACAATAACAAAATCCAAATATGATGAAGGGAAGAGTATCAGAGCTTACATTGTGAACACCTAATTTGTAGAAGGCTATGAAGGACAGTGGGAACCCCAAACCCATTTGCAGAATATCTAGTTAGAGTAAGCCTCTTGCAGACCTCCTCTAGCCCCAAACAAGGAACTCAAACAGCTTTATTATCAGACGGAGATAATTGTAAAATTGATTATGCTGGATCGAACTTTATATTTGGTCAGTTGACCTGCCTTTTAAGCCACCCTGAATTTGTTCTAAGCTCAAGTATTTCTTATTTGTTCCCATGACAAAAATTTCTTCCTTGGCTTTTAAAATATTGATGATGGTCTTGTCTTTCTTACTCATTATTTTTATTTTAAAATTTATTATTATTATTACTTTATATTTACCCCCCCAAAGGAATTACTCTTTATTCTTCATTGTGATATAACAATTGATATTACCTTTAATTTAGTTGCAAAATATTTTTACTTAGTTTTAAATGTAAGGCAACCTATGTAGCAGTTGAAAGCAATGCTTTATGGCAAAATATTTTAAAATATCTTCTTATTTAAATCTTTGTAGGTATAAATGAAAGTTCCTTTTTATCAAAGCGCCCCTCTACTTGTGAAGTAAATAGTGCTATCTCAAAAAAGCCTAAACCTAGTGAAGGTGTTTCGGGAACAAGTTCTTCAGCCACATTTTCTTCGATAAATTCCAATTCACTGACATCTCCTCAGGAAGTGCCATCAAAAGGTAAATATGAAATCTGCCTTATGAAAAAAATGTTATTTATACATAAATTATAGAAATTGTGGTAAATTTTTAAAATGACTAGTGGTTATATGAGGTTATAAAACAAATTAGAATCATAAATATCCTGAATTTCTTTTAGGTATCAACACCTCACCAAATCAATCTAAAACTGCAACGCCTTTTCCAAAAGCTTGTCCAAAGTGCAACATTCATTTTAATCTTCTGGATCCTTTGAGAAATCACATGAAGGTAAAACTTTTTCAGAATTTAGTTTTTAAAAAGTTTGCAAATCTCTGAAAATGTTAAAATGGTTTACAATAATGGCTGGTTTGTCCAGATATTTAGATAAGAAATCTTAAATTAGTATTTTTATAAAACTTAAGTCATAATATATATTCAAATTGATTATCCTTATACAAGATAAAAAATTCCTCTGAATCATCGAATTAGAAAAATGAAGGTTCACATGCATTATAATGTATGCTTATCATGTTTTTGTTTAAATGAAAATAATGTATTATTTACAGATGATACCATTCCTTATACTTATAAAATGAGCTTCTATTTTTTTCAAATTTCACTTATAACTTAAAAATGCCAATTAGTATCCACTTAAAACGTTTAAGTAGATAACACAGAATCCTGCTCTGTGCCTGTGTGAAGATGGTGTTTGTTCTCTTTGCATGCCCAGGTGGCGGCGGATAGGAGACAAACAAAAAGGCAATTTAGATTACACGAGGAAGTGGAAGGAGAAGAACAGTACAAAGACAAAGAAGTAGATGAGGAAAAGTTCTTGCTATCTCTTTAACAGATGGGCTTTTTTCTTCTTTTAAACAGTAGGGGGAAAATGAGCTTTTGGAATAACCCAAATACAATTTCTTTATTAATGTACAAAACTATATTTGCTCTATCTCTGCTGCAAGTTTTCAAAGTGTGGCCTTTGATAATTGAACTTTTTGTTTTGATCTTATGTGAGAATAATTTGGTACAAATGCTCTTACTTTTCCTGTCAGTCTAGTATTTGGATGACACATCTATTATTTTTGCCTTGCATTATAAATGGAGAGAATGTAAAACCTGAGTTCTTTATTATCTTTAATTAATATAAAAAGAAAAATATTTTTATTAGTTTGGTTTGTATCCTCTAGTTTTTTTTCTGCATAAACAAGGAAACTTGGATGTCTTTTGCTAATTTGTGTTCAAGTTGTAGTACATGGAATATATTTTTTCTGTATATGAAAAAAGTGGAAATCTTTTTATAAGATTTTATTTATTGTAATATGCTTTATTATTCATATTAGAAACAACTAACACTTCAATGTAATGTTTTTATAATACAAGATTGTATAGCATTTCAAAAGAGCTGTATCTATAGTAGGTTATGGAATATTTTGGAACAAAATTGATTCAAATTATAAATATTTGAATAATTTATTAGATATGTTTCTATCATAAAGAAATCTAAAAAAAGAGTCACTAAATCTAGAAGGGGGTTAAAGTTAGAGGATTTTTGTCAAGTAGATGATACATTTTTTACATTTCAGTTACATTTTGAATGATAAAAAGATTTCCATTATGAAAAAGTGTTCCAGTTAGATTAGTTGTATACAATTTTTTGCCTTTAAGTCGATGATGATCACAACATGTTCTTGGAATGACATATTTGAAACAAAAATCAAATATCTTAGACTAAGTGTATTAAGCTACGTTCACATGTCAGACAGCATTGAACTTTAAGTATATTATATCATTTAATCCTTAGAAAGTTATTAAAGATATTTTTCTTGTTGATTTACAGCTGATTCTTTTTCATAAATGGAATTCAAGGATCAATTCCTTTGATAAAACTCATCTTCTCTCAACTGCTGTTTTCCTTGTTGAAAAGTGCATGTAATTTTTTTCCTAAATACTGGCAATTAACAATTGATATTTGAAGTTCAACCCCCCCACCGTATATATTAGCACCAGCAATAATGAAGTTCTTAGGTTTAAAACTGATTAAAGAAATCAAAGATCAGACATGTAGGAAGACTTACTATTAAGATGTCAATTCTTTCATGGTTGTAAAACACATTACCAATTAAGATCTCAGGAAATTGGTTTAAGATTGGCAAACTGATTCTAAAGTTATATGAGAATGTCATAGAATTGTCAAAAGTACTGAAGAAGAATAGCATTGGAGGACTGACACTCCCCATTTTATGAGTTTCTTTAAAGATAATAGTGATCAGGACCGTGTGGTATTAGTGAAAAAATTGATTAGTGGAACAGATTAGAAAGTCTAGGAAGAGACTTAGGCAAAAATAATTAACTAATTTTGACAAAAGAGCAAAACCAATTCAATGGAATAATAATAGTCTTTTTAACAAATGCTCCCCGAACATCTGGAGATAGCACACACGCACACATACAATTTATATATATTGATGATATGTGTGCCATCAAGTTAATTCTGACTCATAGTGACCTTATACCCCCTACATCCCAAAGCAGTACTAGGGCTCTTTAGTGACAGTGATAGGGTTTTGTGTCAACTTGAGTGCAACAGATTCTCGGTGGGTTTGGCAGTTAAGATGTGTTTTAATTCTCCATGATATCTAACATAATGTAATATCCCCTTGATGAGGTCAGCTATGAGCAGCCAATCAAAAGGAAGTTTCCTTGGGGGTGTAGCCTTCTTCTAATATAAAGTTTGTTTGCTTTATGCTGAGCCTGGATCCTACATTTGGCACACCATCGGACCATAGTTCTTTGGATATCAGCCAGTGACCTGTTGTATTGCCTGCAGATCCTTGGAGTCAGCAGCAGTCTCTCATCTTACCTATTGACCTTGGATGCATTCCCTCTCTAAAGCCAAAATACTACTGTCTGACGTGCTGATCTTGTGTCCATTAGCTCCTGCACCTACAGAGACATCTCTAGTTTTGATATACGAGGGTGTACCCCAATAAAAACCAGATGTGATGTGCATTTGGAGTTGGTTCTACCAGGTCAGACCGTTAATCAAGCTTTCTATATAGAGGTTCTGAAAAGATTGTGTAACAGTATGCTACAAAAAAGGCCGGATTTGTGGAAGAGAAGGGACTGGTTTTGCCACCATGACAATATACCTGCTTATGCAGCTATCTCAGTGCACCAGTTTCTAGAAAAAAAACAGCATGCCTCTCTTGCTGACCTTACTCTGTGCAACTTCTTTTTGTTTCTGTGAATAAAGAGGGACAAGAAAAGACAGCAATTTGACAACCTAGAAGAGGTGAAGAAAAAAAGGGAGGTGTACTGTCAGCCATCCAAACAGATGAGTTTGAAAAATGTTTCCCAAGAATGGAATCACAGATTTGGACAAATGTATTCAGTGTAATGGAGAGTACTTTGAAGGTGATAAGGTTGTTTTGTAAAAAAATTTAAATATATAGCTTTGAAGAAGAATTCCGGTTTTGGGGGGTACACCAGCCACTTCCTTGATATAAAGCTCTCTCTGTACAGCATATTGACCTATTTAAGCTTCACTGCTTTGCTTCTCTAGAGAACATTGACCGTATAGTAGAGAGTGAAGCTTTGTGGGTATATAACACCAGGTCTTTTCTCCTGCATAACAGCTAGGTAGGTTCAAATCACCATTCTTTCAGTGAGCATTTAACTACTATATTACCAAGACTTTGAATCTAGACATAGTTTTTTTTTTTTTCTAGGCATAGTTTTAACATATTTCAGAAAAAGAACTCAAAATGGATCATAAGTAGATATGAAGCTATATATTATCTTTTAGTATGTAGCATGAGAAAACCTTAGTGGCCCTGGGTTTGTTTTTGACTTTGTTTGTTTGTTTGTTTTATTTTTGCGTGTGTTTTTTACTTTTTAAGATATTAAAATACATAAAAGGAAAAAGTAAGTTGAATTTCATTAAAATGAAAAACTTTCGCTCTACAAAAGACACTGTTCAGAGAAAAAAAGATAAGTCACTGAGGGAGAAGAGATCTGTTAAAACATAGCTGCTAAAGGAGACTTGTATTTAAAATATACAAAACAACCCAATTACAAAATAGAGACATTTGAGCAGAAATCTCACCAAGTAAGATACATTTAAAAAAAAAATTCAACATCACAAGTCATTAAAACTAAAACTGGCTTTAGAGTTGATTCTGAGCCATAGCAGATTCTGAGCCATTGTCACTCCAAACCAAACTCATTGCCGTGGGATTGATTCTGACTCATAGGACAGAGTAGAAATGTCCCTGTGCATTTCTGAGAATATAAAGCTTGAGAGTAGTAAAATGCCTCTTCTGTATTCTGTGGAGCAGCTGGCAGTTTCAAACTGTTGACCTAAGCTACCAGGGCTTCTCTGTGTGACCTTAGTGAATTTAAATGAAAACAACAATGACAGAACACGACATACCTATTAGAAAGCCTAAACTCTAAAATACTGGCGGTATCAAATGTTGGAGTGGAAGTGGAGCAACAGAGACTCTTATTTGTTGCTAGTTGGGATGTGAAATGGTAAAGCTACTATGGAAGCCAGTCTGGCAGTTTTTTAAAAGCTAAATATAGGCTTACCATTTGATCCAGCAATTGCAGTCTTAGCTATTTACCCAGAAGAGATGAAGGTTATGGGTTATATTTTAAAATGCTACATGGAAATTTGAAATTGCATGTATTCATTATCTGTGTGTGTTTAGGATATGGAGTTTTATAGTTATCAATCAGATCTAGCTTATTAATTGTAGTATTCAGTGTATTGTCTTAATTAGTGCTCTCTATTTTACCTCTCTGGGTTTAAATATCCCTGGATACACAGAACTCACAGAAAAAAATTCATGAGTAAAGGGTTTATTAAGGAAGTTAAGTCGTAAAGCCAGTGAAATGCTCAGGGATGAGTTGTTTATTAGGACACATGAGATTCTGTCAAGTCATCTAATAAATGCCCACTAATAAAGTGGGATGTGACTCTGCTGTAAGCCTTAACTTGAAGTCATTCAGCTTAAGCTCCGTGGGTTAGCAAGCCCAGCTTCCCGAGTTAAGTACACAGAGCAGTGGTTCTCAAACTATGGGTCAAGACCCCTTTGGGGGTTGAATGACTCTTTCACAGGTGTTGTGACTCCTTTTGGCGGGGATGGGGTGGGGGTCGAATAACCCTTTCACAGGGGTCGCCTGATACATAACAGTAACAAAATGACAGTTATGAAGTAGCAACAAAAATAATTTTATGGTTCGGGGGTCAACATAATATGAGGAACTGTATTAAAGGGTCGTGG